TATATATATATATATATATATATTTGTTACTTATTAGGTTGCATGCATGATGTGCTGAAATTTGATTAAATGCTCTGTTCATGTTGATTTATAATTTTAGTAACATATAGATCAATGCAAATGGAAGGATCATTCAAACTGATAAAATATTATACAGCTTGATAAATAGAGATAACTATATACGTTTTGAAACGTTTTCAATGCAATTAGCTAAAAATTGATCTCATGATATATTCTTTGCTTTTTTTTTGGATAATTATTGTGCAGGTGGGAGAACCTAAGAGTGGTCAGGAGGCCACCAGTTTATTAGAGAAACTGAAGGACATTCATTTGCTTTTCTAGTGGCTTTTCTTTAATTGAAAATGGGACGTTGTTCATTGTACTGTGAGAATATGGTGACATGCATGATAAAGAAGAAAATTATGTAAACTGGGCATTATCTTGTGTCATAAATGGTTGAGGCAGGTCTTCTAATGACCTTGAAATATATACTTAAAATAGTGTTATATCCATGCCACCCTGCGGGAAATTGTTTCTCTCAAAATTTTTGCTATAAATTTTTTATTTTATATTACTAGAAAAGTACTATGCAATTGAATGTTAAGAGTATAATTCACGTAGTCGACCCAAAATCGGGTAAAGGCTATTGTTGCTATTGTTGTGTACCAATAAAGTGTGTTCATTTAAAAATTATATTTACCATACTTATCTTTTTCCAAAACTTCTGGTCTACTATTCAACATGATGTAGTATCCTTCATCCAATCCTTTCACTCCCAGCCTCAGCTTCTCCACAACATTAATTACGCCTTCATTTGTCTCATCCCCAAGAAGGATGGTGCAGCCAATCCATCAATTTTTGGACCATCAGTCTTATCAACAGCTCCCTTAAAATTTTCACCAAGATTTTGACTAATAGACTTTGTAGATTCATCCCTTCTCTTGTGGACAGCTCTCAGGCAGCCTTCAAAAGTGGCAAATCATCCCTTGACTCCATTCTCCTTGCCCATGAAATGATCAACCATTGTTCCACTGGCAAGAAGGAGATTTGCGCAATCAAAGTGAACTTTTTTTAATGCTTTCGATTGTGTTAACTGGAACTTCCTCCTTTTCCTTCTAGTAGCCAGGGGTTTCAGCCTCAAGTGGTGTTCCTGGATCCATCACATTCTATCCTCTTCCAAATCGTCTGTCCTAGTCAAAGGTTCCCCAACTCCATTCTTCAAATGTTATAGAGGTCTTAAGCAAGGAGACCCTCTTTCTCCCAGGCTATTCTTGTTGGTTGTGGACGTCCTCAAAAAAATGATTAGCAATAGTGCAGCGTCGGGTAACCTCTCAAATCTCAACCTTAAAGGTGATCTTAACTCCATTAGATCTCTTTAATTTGCTGACGATACTCTAATTTTCAGCAAGGCCTCCTCCTCAGACATCACCACTCTCAAAACCATTCTCCTCATCTTTGCCAACATCTCAGGTCTTAAAGTCAATTATTCTAAAAAATCAACCTTTTTTATCTTGGCAAAATACCCCTCAAAGCGTCCTGTCTTGCTAATACTCTTAACTGCTCTATCGGCTTCCTCCCCTTCTCCTATCTTGGTCTCCCCCTGATGAAAGGCTCTCTCTCTAGAAGAGAATGACAATCCTTATTGGATTTATTCTCTAAAAAACTTGTCTATGAAAAAACAAATCCCTTTCCATTGGAGGTCATCTTACATTACTTAACTCAGTCCTCTCCTCCCTCCCCCTCTACTACATATCTTTTTTCAAACTGCTAGTCTGGGTTACCAAGTCCATTGGCAAAATCAAGATGAATTTCCTATGGAGTGGTAACCACTATCCCTCTAGCTCCAAATGTCTTGTTAAGTAGGGTATTGTTTGTAAAGCCAAAAGAGAATGTGGATTAGGAGTCATTGATAGCTCTACCTTCAACATAGTCCTCCTCTCTAAATGAATGTGGAAAATCTTTGATAGGTCTTCATTAGTGAGCAAAGTCATATTCTCCTTATACTCAAATAATAACTCCAACCCTATAGTTCATCCCCCTAAAGGTTCGGCTTCTAAATTCATTCATGATTTACACTCTATTCACCATACTTTCTTTGGTAACGTCAGATGGAAGATAGGAAATGGTAAATCATGCAGATTTTGGCAAGATAAATGGTCTAGTGCTAGCTCCCTCAGCAGTCTTTTCTATCCTCCAAAACTCCTGGAACTAGCATCCTATCCTCAGAAGAGGGATCTCTGTAGAGGATAGATCTGATATCATCACTCTTATCTCCCACTTGGAGTCCTTCTCTCTTGCAGATATCACCATCCATGACAGCAATTGGTGGCCTCACCACCCTTCAGGAGTTTATTCAGTCAAATCATTTTATTCTACTACCAATTTCAGAGGCATGACCTCCCCTGTCTATAACTTCATTTGGAAATCTCCTATCCCCCTCAAAGTCAAGGTCTTTTTTTGGATCCTCAACAAACGGAAGCTGCATACTAGAGAGAACCTAGCTAATAAAGGATGGATTGGAGACACTAGTTGTCCCCTATGCAATCAAAGCATTGAGTCCCATGACCACCTGTTCATTAGTTGTCCATTTTCATCATCAGTATGGTCTATTCTTCTCCCTCAAGTGCATATAGACCCGTGGCCTCAGAATCTGGATTTCTTCATCTCTATCAAAAACAATACATATTTCAGTTACAACCTTAAAGTTCTTTGGAAAGTCATGCTCCCTTGCTTTTGTTGGTGGATATGGAATAGCTGCAAAAACCTCATTTTTAATGATACTCAAGTCAACAATCAGCAACTAGCCTCTGATGTAGCAAGATCATTCTTTTCTGGACAGGAACTCCAGCCAATAGAGCTTCCAGTATACTCCGCAAGGCTGCCATCCAATTAGGACTGGAGGATATTGCAAAAATAGGTGTGCATGATGCAGTCGGAGATAATTTCATGGCGGACCATTGATCTAAGAGTTTCTGCAGTGTTTTAGACAATCTCCAAATCTGTTCTCACTTTCTCTCCTCTTGTGTTTCGTTTTGTTTTTTTTTCTTCTATGATGGTTTTTCTTTGGTTTGTTTTCATATTGTTGACAGTTCAGCAGTGATACTCTTAGTTTTTGTATATTCCATATTTTTCTTTTATTGCATATATGAATAGGGTAGCTCACCCTGTTCTTTTCCTTCAAAAAAATACATAGAAGATCAAAAATAAAAATGAATGCTTTTATAAAGAATATTTAAAAAATACTCAAAAAGCATCACATATGACAATCCATCTGTCTACATTATACATTAAAGTAAAATCCTTGGTTGCCACTCTGAAATTTTGATATATTCAAGCAACCCAATCGAAAAAGAACCAATAGTCAAGCCTTATTTAACACCAACAACACAGCGACTATATTTGAGAAATCAATGCAATCCAAGTCCACAAACATAAAATGTGAAAGTCGATGTTTGAGTTGAGTGCTTGTAGATGAAAGACCCAAATTTCCAAATACCTCTATTTGATCAAGAAAAATGATATCAGCATCAGTCTAAACACCAAATTCATTAATCAAAGAAGAAAATTGTTATGTGGTATATCTATTCCACGGATATATGATCTCATAAGTTGACATTTTGACTAGCCAAACAAGCCGACACTCTTGTATCGACACAAAAGGCGATGTTGGTCGGTATGAGAGATCCTGACCTCCCAGACGAGTCGACATCTCTCTATATTGATTCGAGAGACGGTTGTTAGCTGAGACAAGACGACATTCTGACCAGTCGGACAAGGCGACACTCTTGTGTCGACACAAAAGACGATGCCAGTCGACACGAGAGTCAGCAACTCAAAGATATGACATTATAGGCCTTGCTTCTCGACGAATCTAAGAGATTATCCTTGCCTTGAACCTATCGACATAGGTGGCACTTCTCAATATTGTTTAATCTTCAATGATCATCATTATGTCTCCATCCTCAACAGTCTTGAAGACTCGTCGGACTGTTGGTTCCAATGTTACTGAAGTGACTTCCCGTCACTCACTAACCAACACATGTAGAACAAAGGATAACTCAACTTCCAGCTTACCCCTTACCACCGTCTTACTGTACACTCATGAAGTGAACAATCTGTCCTTGGCATCCTCTATAAATATAGGTATTATTCGAGATAGAAAGCGGGTTCGCAATCTAAAACCCCCTAAAGCACACACTGCACAAAAAGAAGAACACACAGTTCTTCTTTGACCCCACTCAAGTTCATCAACTGACTTGA